ATCATGAACATGATTGACATCCTGCAGGGAAATTCTAGAACATTTAGGCAGGACAATGCAAACAATTTCTGTTCCCAGGGATTTTTCTCTCTCTTTCTTTCTGTCTTTAGACTTATCTTCACACATGTATTCATCATCAAATTATTTACTGAGTGTCTGTTATGCGATAGGCACTAAGTTAGATTCTGGGGATACTGCAGTGAACAAAATAGACTAGGTCCCTATCTTCTTGAAGTTTGTAATCTAAGGAGAAAGTAGAAAATAAGTAAACAAACAGATAAATGTACAGTTGAAACTGTAGTTAAAGGCCAGGAAGTAAAGAGTATAGGGAGAGAGACTAACAGGACCCCATGCTTATACAGGATCAGAAAACCCCTGCAAAGCTCCCTAAGAAATTATTAGCTGTGATTGCCTGTGGGGAAGGCATCAAAAGCCAGGAGCCAGGAAGAAAGTGTTACTTTTCAGTGTGGCCTTCTCTACTCCGTGAATTTCTTTTTATCATAATTATGTATTGCTTTTATAATGAAAAAATACTAATTATACAGAAAACTTGGTGTCTCATAAATCATGATCTCAGTAAGCTTTGCTTTTCTTTGTTGTCTGCAAAGAACTGTGAAAAGGTTTATACAATCCCATGTCAGGTACAGATATATTTGTACCAAGCAAAGCCAAGCACATCTCTCTGTTTCCATGTTGGGGGAAAGTGAGAAAAGGCTAAGCAAAATGTAGCTGCAGTCTTGAATACAGATCTCTGTGGAGCAGCCAGGCTGTCCCCACCTCCATGGGGAACAGGCTGGATCATTGACTTCTGAACCCCAAGAGAAACAAGTCCATCTGGGTTGGAGACTGCCAAGAAGTTATCACAGACAATCTGGTTACCCTTGAGAAATGGCAGCCAATGCATTATTTTTAATTAAGAGGCAGTACCAAAAGGACTAAAATCTATGATTCACAGGGTAATAAAACTGCAGAAATCAAAATGAGGCAAGGAAAGAATAGAAAAGCTGTGAAACTAGGTGAGAAACAAGAGGTGGCCCATTAACAAGAGTTGATGGTGATAAAACTCACAAAACAAGAATATTAGAAGTAGAGGAAGGATTGAATTCACAGACAGCTGCATAAGAAAAAAGTGCCAAATAGGCTTCTCTCATCATCGGATTGGGAACCATTAAGATTTTTTTAAAGCTAGTAATTGCAATAGGGACACATTTTCTTTTCCTGTCATTAAAAAAAGGGAGTGGGGTGTTAAAAGGTCTCGCTAGATGAAAATCACATCAGAGGGGAAAATATCTATGTTGTATAAAGTGTCACAGCCCCTGAGGGACAAAATGGTGTAATTGTTCTTTGTATTCACATAGCTCTTTCCTCACAGGAGGGCAAAGAAACTCACTTCTCGGAACTTCTAGAGAAAATATCTGACACTTTAGTTTTCTTTCTCATCTTCTTTTTCTCTTTCTCATTTGGGCTTGGAATCTAAGGTTTCCAAGTTGTAACTGAATTGCAGCAACTTCCAAACCTCCTGAATATTCTCACAGCTGTCAAAGGGGTGGGGTGCCTTTTGGTTAATGTGTTAGATTCAAAAGCTTCTCTTTTATAAAATGTTTCCAAGATAATGCACTGTTGTTCTAATTGTTTAATTTACACTGTCATTCTATTAATAAATTGTTTAATTTGATAAATTTAATGCAATGTAATTATTTGAAAGTGGATTTGTTTATGGTTTGGAATCTTCTGCACCCATAACTGGAGTATAAAACTCTGGTTTGTGCTGTATCCATAATCATACCTTTTAGAGTTATTGTTTTTGTTGCTATTTAGAAGTAGCAGTAGTCACAGTTTCACTAGAATGAGGTTTTAGATTTCAGTTTTCTGTGTTTGACTGACATCATCTTTTGGCAAATAAAATTGATGCTAATAGCTATAATTGGGGTGACTAATCATCCAGGTTTGCCAGGGCCTGAGGAGGTTTCCCGGATGTGAGATTTTTAGTTTCAAAATGTATCAGTCCTGGATAAACAGGGAGAAAAGTTGGTCACCTTATCAATGCTATGTGTTATACTTAATTCTACCAAAAAAAAAAAAAAATGAAAACAAAAACAAAACGAAAACGCAGGCATTATTTTCCCATTTTCAGGTAATGGAACTGAGACTCAAAAGGTTAAAGCAGCATGTCTTGTTACAGCTACCTGGTGGTAAAGGCTTGCTCTAATCCAGGTCTGTCTGGCCCCAAAGCTTGTGCTCTGAACATTTTCATTGTGCAGGCTTGTGATACAGAGATTTAAGAAATTGCCACATTGTGACTGGGATTACAATCATATATATTCTGTGACTATTCCAGGAATTTTGTAGCCTTTGACTCTTTACTTAATGAGCTTGGAAATCCAACTACTGAATTTTCACTTAGATTTTTAAGCTTAGAAATGCAGACTGGAATAGAGAACAGTGTGTCATCTTTAATAACCTTTTGTGACATCTTGCCAACAATCTTTTCTGAAGAAAAGCATTTCTGCAGTCTGGAAAGTTTACATTTCTATTCTGGAAAGTTCTGCCACTTCCCGCCACTTTGAGGGGCATGCTGCCGTCAACCTGGCTCACGTCAAAGATGGCCTCTGTGTCTCTCTCCCCTGCCTCAGTCCTCAGCTTTTATGTAATAACACCCAGGATGGAAGTCAGATGGAACTGGCCTCACAGTGGCCACACTTCAGGAAACAGAATCGTTGACTTTTTTCATCGTGTGTGTGTGTGTGTGTGTGTGTGTGTGTGTGTGTGTGTGTGAGATTAGCATGCATAAGGAAGTCCAATGTGAAGTGGGAAGATGAAGTAACTACTCTTAGGAAAAATGCCTTCAAGGACAAGAGGAGTTGGTTGTAGATGGATAACCAGAGATGTCTAGTTTGAAGGTTGTGAGATTCTGTGAGCTCTCTGCTTTCGGGAAAAAAATAAACTCCTACAAATCTTTGCCAGCCCTGGTGCCAGTTCAGGCTCGGAAGATCTGAGTGTAAGACTGAACCCTAAGCGGTGTTGCTTACTGGTCGTTAAAGCAAGAGTCCACTGACAAATGCAGTGTGCTTATTCATCCATTCACCCATTCATTCCACCAAAGTTAAATTGAGAGCCTGCTCTGTCTCAGAACTGCTCTGAGCACTGGGAACCCAAGGAGAAAACAATGAAATCCTATTTCATGAAATCAATAGATGAGCATAGAGTCAAAATTATCCTTGGACATTCCTCAAATCACCCATAAAGTATTATCTTAGGTCAGGTTCCCCAGAAGCAGAGCCTGAGATGAGTATTCCTTTGGAAGTATTGAAAATGTAGTCTCAGGTGAAACCTGCACGGTAGTGGAGGAGGCAGGGCAGGGCGGGGGACCGAGTCCAGCCAATATGTGAACTCAGCTGAACAGCTGTAGTCTGGCCTCGGCCTGATCCCACAGGGAGCTCCGGAGCACGCCTGGTATCATAGATTTATAGTCCCTTGAGGCAAAAGGGCCAGACTTTTGTTCCCCTAACAATCAGTCATTGGCTATGGGCCTCTCCGGGAATTAGGGTGTAACCTATTGGCATCCCTGGGGGAGGTGGCTCCAATCAGATGAGGGCAATTCTCCAAAGCAGGTTGCTGTGTGAGCAGTTAGCAGCCAACACTCAGAGTCCAGGGCATATGGAGACGGGCTTCGCCAGCAGCTACACCGGCACACAGGATTTATGTGACATATTAGAAACCTACAGAGCAACTGTTAACAAATACAGCAGAACAATTTGTTTTTCTCCAGTGGTGCCAGAATCCACCATTTCTTTGGGTGCGCGGCAGCGGAAGTAGCTGGCGTGTGTTCGGGGGCCATGGCGTATGAAAAATAAGCACCTCCCGACACCCAGCACGGGAAGGTGCTCACACCATGAGGGTCGCTCCCGCGGGACCTGAGACGGACTCTGTTTCCAGGAAGCGGACTGAGAGATGTCATTTTACGGGCTGTTTGGCAGGAAGTGCCCTTGGGGTCAACACCTGTGGAAAGCCACCGTAGCAGGAGAGGGCGGAGGGAGAAGCTGAGCCACGATGCGGGCTGACAACAGCCGCAGCGCCCGCCCCAGGGGGCGCTCTGGAGCTAAACCGCTTGGGGGAACTGACCTGTTTGGGGCCCAGATGGCCCTGCCTTATGCCCCTCCATTTACCGCCTCAGGAGGGGCACGAGCTCGGGTGACTTGGCTCTCTGCCGCTGAGGCCACATTGAAGGGACAACTGGAGGCTGTTGGCTGACTGTTCTCCCTGCAGTGAGTATGGGCAGTCCAGCCACTGGTGTACACGACCACAGGGCTCACCTTGTGCTCATTCCCAGCGCACAGTCCTTGAGTGGAAGCGGTGTGAGATCGCCCCTCACGAGTTAAAGTTGTTTTCTATTTGGGGACTGGGTACATATGCTTTAATATTTAATATTAATCCTGGACCTTTATCATTGGTTTATCATCACTTAGAAGTGGATAGGCTTCCCTTTTTAAGTGCTTTTTTTTTCATTTTTGGTTAGTGACAGGCATTACTTTATTTAATTCTTAAAATAACATTATGAGGTAGTTAGTATTATTATTCCCCATTTTATAAACGAGCATTGAAGAGGTTAGAAAAAACTTGCCCATAGTCAAATTGTATGCCAGTATTTGAACCAAAGTCTATCTGACTCCAAGCTCAAACTCTTAACCACTCTGCTAAAGCCAACTATGAAACTTTTCACATTACTCTTTGATGGACCTTAGCTTTAATAATTCATTCATTCATTTGATAATGTTTTAAGCCAGGCTCTGTGTTGGGTTGGTTTTAGAGATCCATTAGAGAAACCTCTGGAACAGAGTTTATGTGTATATGTTCTTGTGGGTCATTCTTCCTGCCTCTGTGTGTGTGTGAGTGTTTGTGTGTGTGTGTGTGAGTGCAACAACCTCAAGAGATTAATGCAAATTCGAGGACCTTTGGCTATTTCCTAGTAACTCAATACACTGTTTTAAACTTTCCGACAGGCTAAAAGAGATACTAAGAGAATGTCTGCAAAAGAAGTCACCATTAATGACAGCATTCGACAGATGAACAAAAGTCGAAGAATCACAAAGAACTGTGTCAACTAGCAGAGTGTCCAAATAGAAAGTGGACAGACTTCTTTGTTGCCCTTCACAATCCTGGATCCTATCAAGGAAGCTTGAGGAAGCGGATGCCCCTTGCTGAACTTGAACGCTGCTGAGTGCCCTGAGAGACTGTCTTACCTGGCAGCAAACAGCTGCCTGAGTTGTTGGGACCTTCTGAGCTTCCTGTTTATCACGTAAATATATTGGCACAGTGCTCACGTATGCTAATAAACTGCAGACATGCAGTTCAGTTTGCCTCTTTGCAACTCCCGTAACAGGGTCTGGTGTAAAAGAGCTAATGCTACAGATCAGTTTACGAGGCAGAGAAAAGCAGAAGTGGAGCTCCTGGATGAAAGATCCACACCCTAGCACTAAGCTCTCCTGGCTGCAAAAGTGTGTTCGGTTTCAGGCATGCTTATTCTTTCCTTTTTTCTTTTTTTTTTTTTTTTTTTTTTGAGACAGCGTCTCACTGTGTTGCCTGGGCTAGAGTGAGCGCCGTGGCGTCATCCTAGCTCACAGCAACCTCAAACTCCTGGGCTCAAGCGATCCTCCTGCCTCAGCCTCCCGAGTAGCTGGGACTACAGGCATGCGCCACCATGACCGGCTAATTTTTTCTATATATTTTTAGTTGTCCGATTAATTTCTTTATATTTTTTTTTTAGTAGAGACGGGGTCTCGCTCTTGCTCAGGCTGGTTTCGAACTCCCTGAGCTCAAACAATCCGCCCGCCTCAGCCTCCCAGAGTGCTAGGCCCCTTTTTTCTTTCTAAATACCACCATCCTAAAACTTACCGTGTTCACCGAAAAGCTGGCTTTTGCCCAAACCTAAACGCAGATATACAAGAAGTCAAGAAACAGGGAAACTCCCTGTTATCCTTGTTTTCTTAGATCTTGGATGAGATCAGATCCAGTTCCTCACGCACTAACTCTGCCACACCCATGGCATGTCTTTGGGAGGTCTCTGTGATACAGTCACACCTGCTCCTTATCTGCCTGGAAAGTCCTCCAAGCTGGCACCCATGTTGGCCTCCAGACCATAATGTCACCATCCTTGTGGCCAAACTAGGATGTCCCTCAAGGCTCAGCCAGATCTTGCAGTTTTTCATAGCTTTCCAGTTCCCTGTGCTTGTCTTCCTGAGTGTTCTCCCTCTCCACTTGGGTCATTTGCAATTGTCAATCGAAGACTGGACACTGCTTGCGAGAGGGAGATAACCAGGGACGTGTGGCAGCGCACACAGCTTGCCCTTGGCCTGACTGTACACAGCCTGAGGACTATGTCATTTTGGCACCTGTGATGAAATCACTTTAGTAAGCCAGTACCCGGTCAATGTGTATTCACATTGACATTAGATTGATGTGTACTGCATTAAAAATTAGGTAGCTGACACAGAAAAAGGATGTTTTAATAGGAATAATTTTCTAGCATTTCTTTAAACATGTTCAACTGGAAGTATTTTCTTCCAAAATAATATAACTTGATTTTTAAAGGACTGTTCACATGCCTAGGATTGGGCAAGGTAGGACTAAAGTTGTACCAAACTATACCAATAAACTCCATGTTTGGCAGAAATAGGCAGCCTGATGGTGTGCGTTTATACAACGTAGTCCAGAGAACTGACACGCAGATTGAAAGCCAGATATGCAACCTCCTTATCTGCCAACTCTGTTATTCCTCCAACACAAGTGATTACTGTCTTTTTTCTTCCTTCCTTCCCTCCCTACCTCTTTCCTTCCTGACTTCTTTCCTTCCCCCATTCCTTCCTTTCTTCCTTCCATGGGTGGATTGTACATTCATTAAACAATAAATGCCCATCCTGTGTCAGGTACTATGCAGATGTTGAGGGGTTTGAAGTCTGGTCAGTCATGATTCTATATCCTGAATCTAACAGTGACTTTATAACTAGGAGACTGACTTAGACCCCAGGGTACAGCGTGTTTTGCGAATTGCTCTGCAGTGGAATCTCACTTTTATATTTAGGGAAGGTTTATCTTAAACTAGGTGTTCTCCTAATCACTGGATAAGCCTTTACCCTACACATAACTACAGTTTTCCTAAACTTTTATCATTTTGTGATTCCTTTAGAAAGGGCTTTTGGGGAACTTAATGTTCTAAAGAATATTTTTAATATAATAAAATAAAATAAAAGCAAAACCTGTGACACCTATGCCCCCACTGGCATTACTCAGCAGGAGCCTCCATCTGCTAGTGGTTGGCAATGATCCTGCAAGTTCAAGGGCTCTTTCTCCCAGGGTATGTGCGTTGTTTAGTGCGGGGTGTTCCTTTGCCAGGTACCGGCCCTGGCTTCTCTTTACAGCTTTGTTTCTGCATCAGTTCACTGCTGCATGTTGTATGGAATTTATCACCTTAAAAAGGTGTCTCTGTTTTATATAGAAACAGTTTCCCACTTCTGGGGGAGAAGGAAGTGCCAAGGGCACAGGATCTGGCCCTCCCCAGAGCAACCTGGATTTCACTGAGACAGTGACCAGAAGTTAAACCATGTTACTGAAAATTCATCTGGCAATTTTTTCATGTATGTATAAGACAGAAACTGATTCTTACTATCCTATTAGGATAACACTTTTCATCGCAAAGTTTGTGTCAATAAAGTCATTAATTTCAAACATACCTGGGTGGTTATAGAGAATCTTTACTGGAACCTTAAATTTGTATGTAGAGTTGTTTAGATTCTTTTTTTTTTTTTTTTTAACGAAGGCCTTTTACATAGGTGATACTGCCTGGGAATTAGGTAAGGAGAATGTGATTAGTCCCGTTTTACACTTGTGGAAGTATCTATATACAGTCCACTGAGCTACTCAGTGACGGTGCAGGGATTGAAGTGAGGGCGTCCTGCCTGCGAGTCAGGGGCTTCCCCAGCACACACGCCTCCATGGCAGGACGGCCGGCGTGGCTGGGAGCCTAAGCCATTGCAGGGCAATGTGATGGAGCCTAAGATTGGGCCGAGCTCGAGTCTCAGAGGGCCATTTGGGTAACTGGAGAAGGCCAGAGAGAGAAGACGACAGGGCTAGCAGAGACCGGAGAGGGCCGGTGAGCTCTCAGGGGATTTGGGGCTGGTCCAGGCTCACCTGTCCCTTCATGGGCAAGTCATTTAACTTCTCCATGCTCCTGTTTGGCCATTTGTAAAATGGGGCTCACAGCATCTCATGCTATTGGGAGGATTAAGTAAGGAAATACACTAAAACACTTAGTACAGTACCTAGCCTATGAAGATAAACACAAGGTTGTTTTTTTGTTTTTTTTTACTGTTGCACTGAGCCAGTCCTGAAATTTCTAGGACGTGGGCAAGGTCTGGTATATAAAATTCAGCTGTTATGGGTAAAAATACCAAGGGCTGGCTCTTTATTTAAGCACTTTGTTCTTATGCACAACAACATGAACATTTTTTCAAGATAAATGCTTTTTATCTAATACAAAAGGTACCGCAGGCCCCCCTGTGATGAGGAAAGTAAACATCTTCAAGAAATCTTCCCGGAAAGCATGTACCTTGCTCTGGGCAGAAGCATAGACTCAGGACAATGCAGAGAAAGAAAACTTTCCTTGGTGTAAACTCTGGGGACTTTGTTGTATCTTTAAACTTGACAGGCCTTTCATTTGCAGACTCTCTGGAGGGTGACTTTCCCCAAATTGGTAACTAGCAAGTGAGAAATGACTTTGGATATAAAGGAGTCTTGTGTGAGGAGTTGTAGGGCAATGGATTTGGGGCTTTACATTTTTCTTTTGTACGGATACATCTTCTAGAACCTGGCTTCAAATGTGCAATGTTCTCCAGGCAGGGAGAATACCCAGGCCGGCAACACCTCCTGCAAACCCAGAAAAGACTCAGGTAAATATGTATATCTAAATACGTCAGTTGAGTGGGCACAGAAAATTAAATCTCTTTAAAGAAGACATCCTTCTAAAACAGCTTTGTTTGAGATCCTTGAAAGAGGAAGAATAGAGACTATTCACCTGCTAATTCTTGAGCAAAATCAAGGCTAATTTTTGAGACAAAGAAAATCTTCTGAGCAAAAAAGACAGAATGAATGAGACCCTGGTGAGCCTACACTTCATTCACACTGATGCCTTGGTCACTTTCCCAGCCTCAGCCCAGGGCCAGGGATTCAGACAGATCCTGGCTCAGCTCCCAGCTGAGCTACTTGGATACACAGCTCAAGCACAGCTCATGGGACATGATCACAATAACCTTTATTTTTGTCTCTAACTGTCCTTTTAGAATGTATTCTAAAAGGGAAGTTTCCCCCTGCCATCTCCAGCATCCCTGGGATGTTTCTAGAAACTCTTGGTTAACAGAAATCCCTGCAGTTACTGAAAGTCATAAACATGGTCTCAATTCAGAAATTAGAATGGCAAGTCCTGGAAATCAATCAGCATGTCAGTCTTCACTCAAGGGTAAGATTTCTCTCCTCCACTGTCCCTGGTTAGGGCCTGTAGGAGCTGGACAACCTGCTGTCAGGAAGGAGGTGTGATCACTCCTAATCCTTCTTTGCTCACCTCCTCTCTTTCCTCCAATTTGGAGTTTGCCAGAGGATGAGAGAAAGGGAGCCAAGAGTTCTCACTTGGCAGTTAAATGCTTGCTGCCAGTTCTCAGGGTCCTCTGATACTTAACATTCTTGTGTATTTGCTTCTTTGGTTTTTTGCCTGGACATTTTTTTGTGTCCTGATAAACTCCCCTGCTGGACCTCTCCGGCTATAACTCCTGTGACAGGGTGATACAGTGACCGTTCCCTGCTCTGCCCTGGGCTCCAGTGGTCCACCCCATCCAAACTCCCTCTGCTGAAGCCCGTCACCCTCCCAATCTGACTTCTGGGGCAGGAGTCCAAATGGCTCCAGCCCAGCTCTCACTCCCCTGGGTGGCATCTACCTCAGCAGAGGGTGGGTGATCAGAACAGGCCTCTCTGCACAGGGAACATGTGAGCTGAGACCCGAGTGACAAGAAGGAGCCAGTTGTGCAAAGACCTGGGCAGAAAGGAGTCCAGGAACAGGAAGGACAAGTGTGGAGGCTCCGAGTGTGGCAGGGGCCGAGGGAGAGAGGGGCTGGGGTGGGGGGTGGGATGGGAGAGTGAGGCAGAGGCCAGATCAGGAGGGCTTCACGGGTCGTGGCAGGGAGTTAGAGTTTGTATTTTTAAAAGGTCCCTCTGCCTACTGTTTTTAGAAGTAGATGAATTGAGATACATTTTAGAGGTTGGTTTCTTGGTTTCTTGGTTTCTTGACCTGGAATTGGTACAGAG